CCGGAAAGGGGGGGGCGCCTGGAGACTAGGCACCGCGCGGGATGGGGGCAGTCAAGTCATGTTGGCTGCTAAGGGCGGTGGAGGGACCCTTTGGTTCTCAGCACTCCCCGAGCGAGCGGGTTTGTGCCATCCCGGTTGGCGATGAAGACATCCCTTTCTGTGTGCTCGCAGCTCCGCTTTGCGTGGCCAGGAATGGCTAGAGGGAAAATCTGGCCTGGAGACTTGGATCCTGTTACTTTGGGAATCTGGCAGGGCAATAGTGGGCTGGGTGGGTTCCCTACCGATGAAAATTCTAACGGACTAAGTCACAGTTTCTTTGTCCACCCACACCCCTATACGCATTTTATTATAAGGAGCATATTTCGGCTCCTGGATTTCCGTGGTCTCTTTCTCTCCCCAAAAGCTAGGAGCTCTAAATGCTGGAAATCAAAGCCCCTCCTTGATCCATTTAATTCCTTGATCCTAAAAATGAAACCAGGCTGCCAACTAATAAAGATCAGGCGATGAATCAGGTAGTTTTTACCACATCGTTTCAATCTCACTAAAGTTTTGTTGCTTAATTATTATTTTAAACATTGATTTTTAACATAAAGAGTACATGAAAACATAACAATCCTTTTATTTCATCCCTTGGAACCCTAAACCTGGGTTCATTATCATTGTTATGGCTTTTGCTTTGTATAATGTACAAGAAAGTGAATACAAACCAGTCAAATGATAAAGCCACATCAGAAGCACAAGGAACCAGAGGTGTTGGGCACAAAAGGCATTGAGTAGAAAGAAACCTGAGTTATTGAGCAGTTGTGATATAACAGGTGCTGGGCCAGGCACAGTCCCCATATTATCTCACTGAATACCCCCATCGAGTTAGGTGTTGTTATAACCACTCTACAGACAGAAGCTAGCACAATTAATGGAAAGTTTGGCAAAAATAATTTTTGCACATTACCTGGGCCACAGGACCTAAACTGGGAAGCCTGGGGCATTGAGCTAGGGTCCCCAGGAATAAATGGCTCTAAACAGGTAGGTCTCATTCCCAAGCATGTGCCTTTTTGGGAGTAGGAGACAGCAAGCAAAGTGAAGAAAAAAAAATTCTCAGATGAATGAAGTTTCCAGGCAAAACAACTTCAGAGAGCTTTCTTTTCTCTCTCTAAAATCAAAGAGGTCCCTTGCCCAAATTACCTGATTATCTTGCCTCTTACAGGCTTCTCCCCTCACCTCTGCAGGCATCCTGGACAGCTTTTAGGTTCATAAATGACATCTGACACCCTAGACAAGGTCACACCCTAAACCCTGTCACCACACAGAAGTGCTCCACTCCTGCAGTCCTGCTCTAAAATCCCATCTGGTGACCACACTCCCTAGCTTTTTACCTCTCCCTTTCTCAGTTCCAACCAAATATTCTCCAGCCACCAGCAACCCCTCTCTGCCTCCCTCCCAGGTATCTAAGCCCTTTTATGCCCTCTTAAGTTCTTTCTCTACCTTCCCTGGTTACTCTTGAGTTCTGGGTACTCACTTATTCCCAACACATTCCCAGGAACAGCTACAATTCATACACACTCATACATATGGTGCCTCACTGCCCCAATATGGCAATCTCCGTCTCTAAACAATCTCACCATCTTCTTTCTTGCACCCATACACCCAGGCAAGAGTGTACCTAGGGAAAACTGTGTCACCTGAAATCTTGGGGACATTACCAATCAATGGTGTCTAACTTTAGCTGGATCCTCAATTGTTCTCAAAAACACTGTTCCGCCCTAGTTGGTTTGACTCAGTGGATTGCGCGTTGGCCTGCAGACTGATGGGTCTCGGGTTTGATTGCAGTCGAGGGCTCATGCCTAGGTTGCAGGCTCGATCTCCAGTAGGAGGCGTGCAGAAGGCAGCCATCAGTGACTCCTCTCATTATTGATGTTTCTATCTCTCACTCTCCCTTCCTCTCTGAAATCAATAAAAATATTTTTTTAAAAAACAAAACACTGTTCCATGTCCCTAACCAGCTCCTCTCCACAGAGGTGTCCAGAGTAGACGTCAGATGTCCATAAATACTTCTCTCAACCAGATACAAAACTTTTGTATATGTCACATAGGCATTTTTTCTGGGGGAAAGATCCGTAACTTTCATCAGATTCCCAATGTGGTCAGTGACACCAAAAATTTAAGAACTTCCCTGGCATATGTTAGATGTGCCAAAACATAATGAGCTAAGTAATTATTGTTTGCCAGCTGTTTATGAAATCAGTCGCGAGAAGGCACGCAAGGCTGGTGAGCTCTGTGATCGATTGCATACCTTGATTGAAGAAGGAAAACTCCAGACTGAGGCCAACAGGTTTGTATAAATGAAGGGTGAACTGATATGAAGGAACTAAATTGAATAGGTTTTGCCTATGGCATCAATTCTCAAGCCCTAAAGGAGCACATCTAGCCACTTCAATTATAGACTAAAAGGTTAAAGGATTCCTGTACAGTCATCCATCCCCTGAACACAAAGGCTCCCAGAGGAATGGGTGACCTCCCTCAATCACTGCCATCTGTCTGCACACCATTTGCCCCAACCCAGCTAGAAAAACCAACAAAACGACACCTCAGTGGCTGTGTGGCCTGCTCACCAGGAGATCTGGATCCCGTTCCACCCCTGTTGCCATAGAGCAAGTCAGTTCTTGACTTTAATATCCTGGAAATCTGGATGGCTCTGAAAATCTGTCCCGATCATAAAACTCAGCTAACCTACAAACAGTTTTTAAAGACGTTTATGTGGTTTGTTTGTTTAGCAAGCTGAAAGGAGAGAGACTGGTGTATTTCTGTCCATATGTCACCAAGGATTTTGATTCCAAGTACATTTTTCACTCATCACCATGGTTCACAGGATGTGTAGCTCTGACTTGACTCTCACCATTGCTTGCCTGTTAACAACCCCTCGCATCTCAGCCTGGCCTATCACAGGAGTTCAAAACACTTGTAGGCTCACCAAGGGAACCAGGGACCGTGTCTTTACAGAGGCTCGCCAGTCCACTTACCTGCCAGAAGCACCAAGGTGGGGCCTCCACTCTCATAAACCCCTGAGCATTGGAACAGACACTGGAGTTATCTTGTTTTCACTCAGGTACTCCCACTCCACTCCCAAGGACAACTCAACAGCCGGGCCTGGGAATGTTCTTCTGAAATGGAGATGAACCTCGCTCCCATAAGCACAAGCCTCTACTTTACTTATGCATGCAACTTTTCTTAATTAAATAAAAATTCACCACAACCAAAAATGGTCTGTCACTGAGTCTAAGTGGAAAAAACAAAAGAGGAAGGTGGGAAGGGGAGCACGGATGGTGACTTTTCACTGCCTGTTCGTTGCCTACTATTACTATGAATAAAAGCTCAGTGCTTGCTGTGACTTTGGGAAGAGTGTGTGGAGGAGAGGCCAACAGACTGGGCACTGCCTGCCATGGGCCACACAGACTGTGTGATGCTGATGCTGCTCAGGAAGTTCTGGCCTGAGTGGATGGGGCACCTGGGAAAGAAAGCAGATGACCAGGGGCTAGAACCATCCGCAAGAGTAAGAGTGATGAAGGCCCGCTACCTGCAATGCCTTGGCCACACTCCCTGACCCCACTCAGCTGCCTTGCCAGCTCTAGTCCTACAGGGCCAGTCCTGCTCCAGTCAACAAGAGGAGGTCTGGGTGCTCAGGGTCAAAGTTGGAGGCATTTGTTAAACCATTGATCCCCATCCTCTTTTTCAAGGACTAGATCTTTGCTTCTGAGTGTTTTAAAATATATTTTTATTGATTTCAGAGAGGGAGAGAGAGATAGAAACATCAGTGATGAGAGAGAATCAATCATTGATCAGCTGCCTGCACACCCCCTGCTGGAGATGGAGCCCACAATCTGGGCCCATGTCCTGACCAGGCATTGAACCATGACCTCCTGGTTCA